CAGGGGCGCCCAACTCTCACCTTCGAACCCTCCCTAACGAATAACGAGCGACGGCTAAAACTTGTTGGAGGTCACTCAGGGTCATGACCTTGACAATGTATGTCAAGGTCAAGGTCATCGGGGCTGGCTCCCCTCATCGGCATAATTGCCTAAAATTGATTTTATTTTATTTTTTTATCTCTTTAGAGGGACAAATAACAATAAAATCAATTTTTTAATAAATTAAGATCATATAAGTACAACTTTTGTTGGAACATTTTTGTCTATCGGGCTTATATTTTAAACTATTCATCTGTTATTCAAAATGGAACACTGTATATTTGAAAATAATTGAGAATATATGTATTAGAAAAAGAAATTTATATAGAACACAAAATTATTGTCAAATATCTAAATAGTATTATTATAATTTTACTGTTTCAGAGAAACTTGACTGAATATTATAGTGCTGTAGATTCGTACAATATGATGATGATATTCGCATCTATGTTATACGAACGCCGTATTATTTTCATTTCGAAACGTCTATCGAGGTTGAGTGCATGTGTACAAGCATGCAATGCTTTAATTTATCCAATGATTTGGCAACATATATACATCCCTGTTCTGCCGTTATCATTAATAGATTATTTATTAGCGCCTATGCCATTCTTAATTGGAGTACCTACCCTAACGCTTCAGGTATCTATCTATATACATATATATATTATATTTATATACAGGGTTTCCCAATTTAAATGGCCAACTTTAGGAGTGTTTAGGGAACTGATAAACTAAGAAAAAAATCCTTTAGAGATATACTCGGTTTTGTTTTGTTTTAGAAAAAATCGTAAAAAAAACAATAAAGTGTAATTTTTGAAATATTATTATTTTCAAAGCGAAATATTATTGTTTTTGTGTACGATTTTAGCGATAATACTTCAGAGGCAGTGCGGGAATATGAGCGCCGATTTCTAGACAGGAAAGCGCTGGATCGGCGAGTCATTATGTTAACCAAATCAATATTTGACTGCAACACAAACTGTCTATACAAGATGCAATGCGTGCATTGCTGCAAGAGGCCAATATTTTGAACAATATTTGCATTAAGGGGGAATACCATGACGGCCGAAAAAAGGCTATTTTTGTGAAAACCAATAGCTTGTATGAATTATTGTCTTTATACAGGGTGTTCGGAAAGTGCCGGGACACCTGAGTATCATGGAAAGTATGAGTATTACAGAAAAGTGTTTCAGACAAAGTTGCAGGGTTCAAAAAGATCTATTTACTGATCACATCCGTTTGATTTTGGGTGGTGTCGCCAAGGTAGGTCAAGGTCACATCAATTTTTTTTAAATGGAACAGCCCATTTTTCATTGCATATTCTTATATGCACATCTCGAGAGCTTTCCAAAATACTATAATAAAATATTTTTTCATTAAATATTTTTCGAGTTATGAGGCTTGAAAGTCATAGTATGTGCCGGCATTAGCATTACCCAAGATGTCCGACCGACGGCTAAAATCTTTTGAATCTTGTTCAGGATCATTACCTGGATAACATTTGTCAAGATCAAGGTCATTGGAGATTGTTCCTCTCATTTTCACTTTTGCACTAAAAATTTATTTTTACGTAAAAAATTTATTTTTACGTAAAAAATTTATTTTTACGTAAAAATAAATTTTTAGTGCAAAAGTGAAAATGAGAGGAACAATCTCCAATGACCTTGATCTTGACAAATATTATCCAGGTAATGATCCTGAACAAGATTCAAAAGATTTTAGCCGTCGGTCGGACATCTTGGGTAATGCTAATGCCGGCACATACTATGACTTTCAAGCCTCATAACTCGAAAAATATTTAATGGAAAAATATTTTATTATAGTATTTTGGAAAGCTCTCGAGATGTGCTATAAGAATATGCAATGAAAAATGGGCTGTTCCATTTAAAAAAAATTGATGTGACCTTGACCTACCTTGGCGACACCACCCAAAATCAAACGGATGTGATCAGTAAATAGATCTTTTTGAACCCTGCAACTTTGTCTGAAACACTTTTCTGTAATACTCATACTTTCCATGATACTCAGGTGTCCTGGCACTTTTCGAACATCCTGTATATTCAAAGTATATACATTTACGAAATCACAAAAATTCATTAAATATTAATATTTCTAGCCTCAGTGCTCATTGATGTGCACCTCGTCTGGAAAAACATGGGTGCATAGGCGCTCGTGCTGCGTCTGAACGGGAACTCTAAAAAAAAATTTTTTTTTTTATTTTAAAGTGTATATAAGTGTAGTTTCGGTTAAGCGTACTGATTTTTTGATAAAATAATTTTAAACAAAATGGCGCTGTTTAAAAAAAAAGAGGTCGCGATTTTGCGAAAAAAATCATTACTTTTTTTTATTGTTTTTCAAAAACTAGTAATCCGATTGAAAAATTCGTATGCTTAACTGAAGACAATGTTGTATAAACATTCTGTCCAAAATTCAAGTCATTCGGACAAAAATTGACCGAAATATGTAAGCGTCTAGTAACAAAAACATAGTTCCGAGAAAAACGTGTTTAAAGTTTTACAACCGATTAGTTTAGGCATATGACCACTCCATCACATATTTACTATAGAACCGAATTTCAACATAATATTTTAAGACATATTTTTAAGACTCCAAGCATTAAAAAAATGCAAAAAAAATCGATTTTTTGAACCCGTCACAGTGGTATTTCCCCTTAAGCAAGTAACATCGTGAATAAATAAGTAACAAATAAATATAAAAATGAACTATGTTTTATCTTTTTTTGCTATTTTCTCCAAAACTAAGCAAAAACGGGTATATTCTAAAAAACTTTTTTTCTTAATTTATCGATCGTTTATATGTTTCCGAAGTTTGGCCATTTAAATTCAGGACACCCTGTATAATTAAAGATATAATTGAAGAAAATCTATTTGACATGTGAATGAAAAGTAGGAATCTAATTCTTTAGATTTAAATTTTAAATATTAAAATACTTCAATATTAACAATACTTTTTTAAAATGATAGATAAATGGAAGAAATTAGCGCTGACATACATCAATTTAATGCTTAAAATTACAAATCGTGGGCAGCACAGATCTATCATCCTTAAACATAAACATTTAATTTTAAAAAAAGATGTTCTAAAATTCTCTCTACTGGGAGAGGGGTACTAAATTATACATTAAGATAATTTGAAAGAAGATAATACTGTTATCTAAGATAAAAAGAAAGATAATATATATTCTAATAATCTGAATAAAAATAAGATAGTCATTTCATGTGATAGGCTATCTAGAATAATCTAGATAGTCTCTTTAGATAGTATATCTAGGTAATTATCTACATAATTTTATATAGATAACAGCTAACGCTATATTTTGTACGTATGTGTATATGTATATATACAAAGTGTAACAAAGCGATCGTAACCAGGCTAATTTCTTGAAAAATGCATTTTCTTGAAAAATGTTTCAGACAGAAGTTTTTTGACAATTGGTTGTACTATTGGTTTAACCTTTGGTAGCGTTGTCAAAGTCAGGGCAAAGTCACGTTGAATTTTTTAAAGGGAACTCCCATTTTTTTATTCTTATAGCTTACCTTGAAAGCTTTTTAAACACTATAATAAAATTCTTTTTCATTAAAGAGAGCATCACCCTTGAGGTTTGGAAACATCGGAAATTTTTTTGCTTAAATTTATAATTTATATTTTTAAGAATAATTTCGATAGAGAGTTCTAAATTGGTATCTCAACTGAATAATCCAGTTAGAATCAATGTAGCAAAGCAGCTCTGCAGGTAAAAGAGTACTTCCTCTTCTTTTTTGTCTTAGGTCTTAAACTCGTGGATTTCAGCCTGCAAAAGGCTCAGTAACCATGCAAAAAAATATTACCTCAGCCAGTATTCGTTCGTTTTTAAAAAATATTAGTAGTAATCTAACATAAAGTTTTATGATTTCAAGGGGGATATAAGAATATGTATCATTAGTTCAACCTTGGGTGGCATTGTCAAGGTTATGGCAAGGTTACTTCGAATTTTTTAAATGAAACAAATTAGAACAAATACATATATAAGTAGAAAAAATATATAAATTGATCCATTTTACCCTTCTTAAATTGGTCCTTTTTACCCCGCGTTTGTGATAACATTAATATTTTTACCTTTATTTACTTGTATAAAAAATTTTTTTAATGTGACTGATGAAGTATTACTTCCAAATAACCAGTAACATGAAACTTTTAAAAAAAATTGTTTTAATATTAAGTTTTGCAATCTTAGCCACTTAAAATGTAACACTTAAGAAATCAGATTGCGAAATCTATTTGGAAGAATTTGACATTTTTTAATAAATATTATAACTCACGATAGTGTTATAGTATAATGACGTAACTTTTTAACAGTTGAAAAGCATAAAAAAAGAAGCTAATTTTATGTTTATTTAACAGATGGAGATAGTTAATAAGAATTGGGGCGGTATTCATAGTCGTTTCTTATATTTAAGATCGCCTTAAGTTCGATCTTAAGATGTCTTAAGACGCTAATGCAGCCTTCTGATTGGTGACTTCTTAAGACCGTGCTTAAGACGGTCTTGAATATAAGATCTGACTATGAATACCGCCCCAATTCTTATTAACTATCTCATCGGCCTTAGAGTCACTTTATCAGAGTCAAGACATTAGATTGGAAGAACGCCATTGCTGGGATCGGAAACTACAAATAACGACTTGCGCGCGACTTTCAAACTTACATACGTTCCGCGTACCGCATACCTCGCTACATTTAATTGCACCTTAATATATAATAATGAGGCCTGTTCTTTTTAGCTGAACTCCTTACACGGTTTACTTTCTCTCTTTTTCTCTCCAACATGAAGAGAAAAGGAAGAAAGATAAATTGTACAAGAACCTTAGCTAAAAAGAACAGACCTATATTTTGCAGACTAATATATGATGCCGAAGTAGATATTCTCATGACATATCATAACTCTTGAAATGTCGAAATAATCGATCGGCGTAGCAGTGTGTTTAATCATATTGATCTAATGATATAAATACTTGAAAAATGAATATTAATTTACTGTCGACAAAAAATGAATATTTTTTCTACATTAAAAAAGCTATATTGAAATGTTAATCAAGACAATCAAATATTTTATTGTTAAAATTCATGAACATTTAGGTTAAAAGGAACTCCCCAGATACCACAGTAAATTCGCAAAATATTCTTCAAGTTTTCTTCTTTCCTGAATTTCTCAGGAATTCGAAGAACACAATATGAATACTTCAAGAAGTTTCATGCATCATGTTCCGAATTTCTGCGAATTTCTTAAAGCTCTCCCTCTTTAGTCACTCCAACGCACTCATGGTTGATATGGTAGGTGTATCCCAGATAGTACGGAAGCGAATCGGAGTTCATAGAGAATTCATTTTAAAGAAGACATACAAAATTAGAAAAACGAATATCTGCAGAATAGTGTTCCCTCTATATCAACAGTTATACCTTATGAATTCAAGGAGAAGTGTTTGGAATAGGCATACAGGGTTATAAAATATCCAGTAAATCTCAAAATTTGTTTGCGTTACATGCTCCATCCCAGATAGCACAGTGAAGTATTCGCAAAGTATTCTTCAAGTTTTCTTCTTTCCTGAATTGTAACTAATAATAAGTCTAATTCTAAGAACTT